CTCCTGAGATCCCTAAGAAATCCTTTCAAATATCCAGCTAAAGTACGGTACACTTAAATCCTTTCCCCAAACCTTAGCCAATACTCATTTCTCCATTCTCTGAACTCCTATAGCACTTACTGTCTGTAAAACTCATGTGGGAACTTAATCATAAACTACCTTGTTCACAGTAATGAACTGTTAACAGAGACAGAATTTATTTACATATTAAAATCAGTGTGGTCCTCTTTAAAATAGTTACCTTGAGAGGCTACCACTTATTTATTCACTCCATCTACCCAACCATCTGATGCATTTAACCAAAATTCATCTAGTACGTAACTAACTACATGTGAAGCTATTGCCACTGTTCAAAATATTTCCAAATTCCTCTTTGGGAGCACTTTCCAAAGTTAGTTAATAAGTCAATCAAGAAAATAATCCCGGGCTTCCCTGGTGGCACAGTGGTTGAGAATCCGCCTGCCAATGCAGAGGACATGGGTTCAAGCCCTGGTCCGGGAAGATCCCACATGCCGTGGAGCAACTAAGCCCACGCACCACAACTACTGAGCCTGCACTCTAGAGCCTGTGTGCCACAACTACTGAGCCTGTGCTCTAGAGCCCGTGTGCCACAACTACTGAGCCTGCACTCTAGAGCCCGTGAGCCACAACTACAGAAGCCCGCGCACCTAGAGCCCGTACTCTGCAATAAGAGAAGCCACTGCAGTGAGAAGCCTGTGCACCGCGACGAAGAGTAGCCCCCGCTCGCCACAACTAGAGAAAGCCTGCACACAGCAACGAAGACCCAATGCAGCCAAAAATAAATAATTAATTAATTAAAAAAAAAAATCATCCCCATTTCTGTGACTAACTAAATTTAAACCAAAACTATTCTTTATTCATGTTACTTGATACTGACAGATCTTCAACATTTCTAAAAATCACATCTTTCAAACTAAAAAGATTTGTCACCAATGAGACCATTCAGAATAACATTATGCCTTGCATTACTTGTAACTGTGCCATCCTAGAGGGATTATGAACTCCTAGAGAATAGGGACCATGTTTTACTCACCTTTATAGACTCCCTCCCCTCAAGAGCACACAATAGGTACTCAATATATAAGTAAACTGTATATAATGTGCTAGACGATAAATCAGAAAAGGTGTTCGAAAAATGTTTTGAACACTAGTACTGAAAGTGACTACCAAAATACAAAAACCCTCATTTGGAGGTACTGTACACTTTTGATACTTGTTTTAAAAAATCAATTTTCTGAAAGAACTGAGGATTGTGGGAGAGAATGGAGGATTGTGGGAGAGATGGGAGGAATGTGGGAGAGAAACAACTGTGGGAGGGAAAGAACTGTGGAATATAATAGGGAATTTGGAGAAAGATGGGTAATTTTGTAAAAGAAGGGGTAATTTTGTGAAAGAAGGGGTAATTGTGATAGAGTGGCAAGAAAGGGAATTTTGGGATACATGCGGAATTGTAAGAGATGCAGATTCTGGGAGGAAAAAGAATAGTGGAAGGGACAGGGAATTTTAGGAAAGAATGGAGAATTGTGGGGAAAACGCAGACTGTGGGAGAGCCAGGGAACTGTGGGAAAAAAGAAAAAAATTAATTTTCTGAAATCTTACACTGTTATAGAATTACTTCACAAATGTCTTTCTCTCCCTAAAAGAATAAAAATACCGTAAGTTCCTTGAGGGAAGAAACTTCATCTAACACTTTTTTATTATTCTAAAAACAAATTAAATCAGACAGATTCTTAAAACAGCTAAAGATCTCTAAACAGTCATTTAGGCCTAAGGTAAGAAAATCCAAATTAAACCAGCCCCCAGCTCCAGACCAGATTTACTCAGATTAAACTAGCCTCAGATTAGAAGAGAACCTTTGGTCCCACCCATTAGGTGTTTCTGCAGGATAGTTCCAGTTCCATTCTAATCCATTCTGCCTTCCCTTATATCTAAAGGCCTTCCCCAGTCAGATATCCCTTTGTCCTTCACTATCTCAAATACATACATACACACACACACACACACACAATTTTGTCTGCAATACCTCCATAGTGCTCAGCAATTTCACACAGTCCCACCACCATCAGTAATGGTGAACACTACTTTCTATCAAGCATTCAACAAGTACTTACTAAGCACTTAAGAATCAAGCTGGGACTTCCCCGGTGGCGCAGTGGTTAAGAATCTGCCTGCCAATGCAGGGGACACGGGTTCGATCTCTGGTCCAGGAAGATCCCACATGCCACGGAGCAACTAAGCCCGTGCGCCACAACTACTGAGCCCATGTGCCACAACTACTGAAGCCCATGAGCCTAGAGCCCACGCTCCGCAACAAGAGGAGCCATCACAATGAGAGAGGCTGAGCACCACAAGGAAGAGTAGTCCCCGCTCGCCACAACTATAGAAAGCCCACACGCAGCAACAAAGACCCAACACAGCCAAAAATTAATTAATTAATTGATTGAAAAAAAAAACAAGCTGTTGTGAGTTTCCCCAGAGATTAAGGAAAGTCTCAGCTCTAGAGCAGGTTACAATCTAGCTACCATTTGTAAAACAAAGAGAAATAATTCTCATAAACTAATACAAGATTTAGCACTATATAATCAACATGCGAATGCTGTTCTTATTCAAAGTAAGGAAGATTCTCAAGAGGTGGGGTTACTTAAACAAGACTCTTGAAAAGAGGAGCAACATCTTTCTTTCTATACTCCCAATATCTGTCACCCTGACTCAGGGACGTTGCACCTCATACCAAATTTCAAAAACCAATATTTTATGAATCTATCATAATACATGAGCAGCATGCTCTTTTCCACCATATTCCCAACTTATTAGTGACTTAAATATGCTAATTTCCTTAAAGACTGCCACAAATCTGTCTCACCACTGTAAAAATCTCCTTCACAGTCAACCATATCCAAATGTCCTCAGAATTCTTTACCTTTTCTTCAGCCTCCCACAAAATTATCACCATCTCCATCATACCGTCCCTCATCCTTCTCTCCCTCTTATCAAATTTCCCCATCCCTCCCTCTCTCCTCCACAAAGAAGAAACACATATTCATACCAATCCATTCCTTCCTTAACGTAAGAATTGCCACAGAAGCCTGGAAAGAACAATCAAGGATCATTTTAATCCATTCCCAGATTCCCCACACTAAAACTCTCCTGAAGACTGTCAAAGAATTCTGCACAGTTGACCTGGTAACTACTTCCAAGATGAACAACTATCACTGCCAAGCAACTTCTCATCTCTAACCAGCGACACTTACGCTGCAAAGATGCTATTTCCTACAACCTAGTCTTTCCTAAAGGTCCATCCATCAAACTTCCCTTAATCATATCACCCAGTTTTTCCAGTCTAATTTTAAATGTTTTTCTTTAAGAATATTAAAGATATAAAGACATCAAATTAAAAAGCTAAAATAGTAACTATCAAAGTTTGAAAAGGAGAAAAGGTATAATGACAGTGACACAAATCCTTTCCACTCATAGTAAGAAGTCTCTTGACTCCTTTTTTAACATCATTTTGATCAATCAAGAAATGAGTACATGCATATTACTTGGAGACCTAGAGGAAAGCATGATAAGAATTATAAAAATTAATGATTAAAAGTAGTCTCTGGAAAGTGGGACTGCAATGGACAGGTGAGACAGGGGTTATTGCTTTTCATTATAAGCTCCCTCAGGACAATTTTTTAAATTACGTACATGTATTCTTTCATATAATTTAAAGGAGAGAAAAATAATGATATACTTTATTTAAATCCATTAAACTTACAAAAATTAAAAGAACTGATAATATACAGTGCCAAAGAGGGGGAGGAAAACAGACCTCTTCATACTATGATGACAATAAAAATGGGTACATGCTACTATGTAATATATTGAAGCCCTTAAAAAGAACGAATAACTCCAAATGTACTGACATGGAAAGTTTTCCAAATCTTTTAAAAATAATCCTGGATTATTTCTATAAGAAAAATTTTAATAAAAGCCCCTATGTATTCAAATGCTAAATTATTCTCCTTTAGAGTTATTTGCTGAAAGAATGAATGACTGAATTTTCCCATCCCTCCCCCAAATTTCTGTCTTCGCCTTTAATCCCTCCACCCTCTATATCCATAAAAGGGTTTTTCATACTACCCTCTCTTCAGTTTAATTAATTAACATAACAACGTGATGTTTATATAGTCTTTCTTAATAATATAAAAGGTGCCTAATTTTCAGATACATTTTAAGGGTATGGTTCTAGCCCAGAGTTCCCTCTTCAAAATCCAGTCTGGTGTGAGCTCAGCAAACCCAACAGCCTGGGTACATTTCCTGATAGGGAAATGCTAGTACTCCCTCCAACCTGGCTCTAGAATCATCCAGTCTCTTCAGGTTCTCCTAGACCTCAAAACAACCAGTCCTGACCTCCTTGCAACTTAAGACCAAAACAGATATCCTAATCCTCCATTCTGCAGGCCCACACTTTGTAGGCTGATGTATTTTCTTCAATACCACCATGCCTCAGTGAGAGTATCCATTCAGGAACAGCGAATGGCAAAAGATCTCCCACCAGCCCCAGGGTTATGGAACCAATCCAGTCAGTTAGACTAATCTGAGCTACAAATCGAGTCTCCAAAGAAGGGCCACCAAGCATGGATTCTCCCCACCATTAATTATAACCCTGTGTACTGCAACCCAAGCTGCATAATATGGCAACAGTTCTCTTGGACCAGATAAGCTGGGCAGTGAAGAAAACCGCCAAGTCAAGTAATTTCCATTCCAGCATCTGCCAGCATAGAGTTCACCCAGCCTCTGGTAAGTGATAATATTTCAAAATTGCTAAAATCTAAACTCCATGGCCTAGAGAATCCCTGTAGGCCAGGCATTTTCTTAAGGTCTGCTTTAGAGATTCTCATATTCACTCGTGCAGGTCTAAAATGTCTCAGACCAAACGACAGCCTAAGGTCTAATTATCAGTGACCCCAACCACTGCCGGTACCCGCACTTACCGAATGTCATCTACAGAAGAGCCCAAACAGGTTCGGAACTAGGCCATCCTGGCCCATCTGGAATAACTCTTTAGTCCTTGGGCCAACACTTATTAATTCTGCTACATCTGTCTATTCTATCATGCATTCTCTTCATATTCTCCAGTATTTAGCACTCCCTCTTGCTTCAAACCTACCCTTTCTATTCAGGGAAACTCCTTATATCCCTTCTTTTCTTTCCTTAGAAACGCTTCAGTTCTTTCCACAACGAAATACCTAATGTATCTGCACAATGAACACCCCCCCAGAATCCTCAAGACTCCTCCACAGCCACCCCCTGCATTCCTCCACCTACCCGGCATCTTTCCCTCCGGCCTCTCTCCTAGTGCACGCTCCCACTACGTTTCCTGCAAGGATTCTCTTTTCTCCAACCCCTGCCCTTCCCTTCTCCCAAAGAACACATTCAGGCAGCAACAGTGACTGAGGCCTGCGGTGCATAAAGCACTGCACCAGGCACGGTGATCAGAGACCTGGTGTCTTCCTAAGCTTTTCACACCCACACCCAGCACCCTCTGGCCACCCTGTGCAACCATCCCACCTCCTTCCCTACCTCTGACACCCGCCTCAGGCCTCGGAAGCCGCCTTCTCGCTTCAGCCACCCCCGTCATTATCCTTTCTCAACCCCCCAACCCACCATCCGCGCCCTGCTTCCTCCCGTCCCCCAGCCAGCTCCTGCGTTTCCCTCGGCCTCGCCCGGTCCCCTGGCCACCCTCGGCCTCGCCACGGCCCGCTCCCCCCGGGTCAGGCCGTTACCGCCGCGCGCTCCCCCCGCGCGCCGCCCCCTCCCCCTCCCTCCCCCGGGCCCGGGCCTGCCAGGCCGAGCGCTTTACCGCGGGCGGGTGCCGAGTCGCGCGGTCACCGACTGCAGGCGGCGGCAGCTTCAACCTTTCTAGGGGCCCTAAGAGGAGGGGAAGGGGGGAGGGGGGAGAACTTTTGCTGTGGCAGCTTCGGCAACAGCTCCCACCCCTGCGCCTTTCTCCTCTTCCTCCCCCTCCTCCTCCTCCTCTTCCTCCTTCTCTTCCTCCTCCCAGAGCAGTAGAGACGCAGACATGCCGCGGCTAGAGCGCCGCCGCGGTCGCCGCCACTGCCGGCGCGGTGCATTGTGGGAAGCCCCGCACAGGGGGAAGCGCTCGGCGGCGCCCGCTCTCCATGGGCCGGCGACCAGGCTGGGAAGACCCAGCGTGGCTTCGATTCCGGCGCCTGCGTGTCAACAGCCCAGTGTGGCCGGGGAAGCTGGCCCTGAGCCGCGGGGTCCCTTCGGGCTGGGCCTGGGAGGAAAGCAATTTGAAAAAGACCAGAACTGAGGAAATGTCTATGAGACGGGGGTCCGCCTTCAGCTTTAATCAGTGCTTATCGCTCTGAGAAGTGGAGGACTCGGTGGCCGGGTGCATTTCAGGCTCGGGGCAAAGGAAGGGGCGGGAACCTAAGTGAAAGGTTATCTTTCAGAATCTTTTGGCTTTTTCGTTTCTTCTCTCTTCCCCAGTCCTCTCCCCTGCGACCTCCAGTCGTTGACCACCAACCCCCAAATGCTACCTTTTCCGGAAGCGGCAACACAGCGCTCTTGAAACTAGCAAACCCGGTTAAGTGTCTGCAACCATATGCAGGGTGTGAGCATAGAGAAAGATCAAGAAATCCGGCCCTGGACCCTGTTGCGCAAGATCTTACATGGTATTTCCCCCTCACTTCACCAGGGGCCCAAACCTTCTCGGTCTGTATGGCAAAAGACATGGTTATGGTCTATGTGGAACTGGAATTGAACAATTAATGTCTCAACACTTGGAGGCCCTTTAAGTGACCTTAGCCAAACCGTGACCTCCTTAATGGTGCCTTCATTCAACTAACATTTCCTGGGCGCCCTGAGGTGCTTATGCATACTGCGATGGCTTACAATTTCTCATCTTTGTGTCCGCACCCTAGCACAAGGTCAGCCATGTAACATAGATGCTCAGTGAATGTTGAGTGATTATGAGCATCAGAAACGTACCATGGGATGAACACCTTCATTAAGATTTCTTCATAATAGTCTGAAGATTTATTTAGCATCTCTCTGCAATACTTAAACATAACCTCTGAGAGGCGAGGGAAAGGAAAGGCATTAAAATATCTATATAACCATTTCTGGAGTTCTTCCCTTATCCACACCCACCTTTCCACCCCTTGCCAACTGAATCTTCATTTGAATTGTGCTTTTTGGCAAAACTCCAAATTCCTGCATTATGCACTTGTGATGGCACTGAATTAGGTTAGTGTCTGCAAGGTTAATGTTCCCCCAGGCATTAACCTTAGTAAATTGTGATGCCTGTTTAGAAATAGAAGAAGCCCAGAGGTTCAGCTTAATTTAGCCACGGGTAACCAAGAAGAGCAACGGTAAACTACAGCTCCACAATCACCTCTCCATGTGCTTTCTCCATTAAAAAATATAAATTTTAATAAGATGACAGTGCAGGGGCTTCCCTGGTGGCGCAGTGGTTGAGAGTCCGCCTGCCGATGCAGGGGACACGGGTTCGTGCCCCGGTCCGGGAAGATCCCACATGCCGCGGAGCGGCTGGGCCCGTGAGCCATGGCCGCTGAGCCTGCGCGTCCGGAGCCTGTGCTCCACAACGGGAGAGGCCACAACAAGTGAGAGGCCCGTGTACCGCAAAAAAAAAAAAAAAAAAATGACAGTGCATATTCTGAATGCTAATTGCAACAAAACATTGATACAAGCTAGAGCAAGGGACAGTTATCTGGAGGACAGCCTTCTGGCAACTTCTAGCATCTGCAATGGCATCAAATTCAGATGTTAAAAAAAAAAAAAAACACCTCTGACAGCAAAGAGGCAGACTCTGAGTATTAGGTAATAGGAAAACTAATAACTGAAAAGGTTTGAAGTCCTGGAGATTACACCCAGTGGGCTGAGGTTGATTGGTTTATCATCAGGAATAGATCTAGTTCTCTGCTCAGCACCATAACTAAGAAACAACAGAGGAACAACTGTCTTAACATGGTCAGAATAAAGAGCACTAAAGAGATAGTGACAGCAGAAGTGATGACTGGGAGCAAGTTTAAGCCTTTGGTAGGTTAAACTTCTGGAACTATTTCTCAGGCCCAGTTTGCCTCCTTCATGCTCCTCTTGCTCACCTCCCCAACACCAGTCCTAGGCATTCAGCCTGCTTTCCTTTCCTTTATTTTTTAAAATTTTTATTTTGAAATAAAGATTCACAAGAAATTGCAAAAATAGTACAGAATCCCATTTACCCTTCATCCAGTTTCCCCCCATGGCAATATCTTATAAAGTTTTAATAAGATATCAAAACCAGGAAATTGACAATGATACATTATCGTTAACTAGACTACAGAACTTAGTTTTTACCATTTTTTAAAAAACACTTGTGTGTGTGCACGTGAAATTTTATTCCAGGTATCATTTGTGTAACCACTACAACCAGGATATGAAACTGTTCCATCATCACAAAAAAACTCCCTCATGCCACCTACCTTTTTGTATTCACAAATCTACCTCCGCTTCTAACCCCCCTACTCTATCCTTGCCCCATAGTAAGCATTAATCTGTTTTTCATTTCTGTAGTTTCGTCATTTCAAGAATGTTATATAAATGGAATCATAGAGCATGTAAACTTACGATGTTTTTATCTAAACATAATGCCCTTGAGTCCCATCCCTGTTGTGACAGGTATCAAACATTCATTCCTTTTGATTGCTGAGCAGTATTCCATTGTATGGATGTACCAAGATTTGTTCATCCATTCCCCAGGTGAGGTACATATGGGTTGTTTCCAATCTTTTTACTATTACAAATAAAACTGCTATGAAAATTTGTGTACAGGTTTTTGTGTGAACTTAAATTTTCATTTCTCTGGAATAGATACCTAAGATTATGATTGACAGGTCATATGGTAAGTGCATATTTAATTTCTGAAGAAACTGCCAAACTTTTCCAGAGTGGCTATATCACTTTACATTCCCACCAACAATGTATGAGAGGTCCAGTTTCTCCCCATCCTCACCAGCACTTGGTATTATCACTCTTTTTTATGTTAGCTATTTTAATAATGTAGTGGTATCTCATTGTGGTTCTCTCCCTTTTAAAAAGAGGTTCTCTCTCCCCATAGCTGGTTCCTGCATAGGATGCATGCTATCTCTCTAACTCCTACTTTCCATGTGTGTTTTTAAACAAGCTCACAGGCCCCCTTTGTTGAAGGATTTCATTACATATTACTGCAGAGAAACACAACTCTTGCTTTACAAGCTATAACTTTACAACTCAAGTTATAAAGTTTCTTGAAATATTAAGTACATATAGCTTATGTCTTTTTTTGACACCCTTTTTGAGGCGGCTCCAGGAAACATCTGTTAAGCAGGTGTAGAAATTTCTTTTGGGAAGTGGTACACATAAGCTGCTCAGGATGCAGTACACAGGTGGCAAACTTAAATGCCTAACAAGCCAAGCAGGTAACATAAATAGGTGAAGCAGGTCAGATATAAAGACAACTGACAGTGAAAGGGACAGTAAAGAGCCAGGCGGCTCAAGCCAGTCTAAAGGGCGTAGACATTACTCATTTCCCAGTGAGAATGTGAAGAACAGGAAATCAAGAGAAATCAGGAATCTGAACTTTGGGGTGAGCTCTCCCTAATATTAATGTTGACAAGTAACATTTAAATTTCTGTAAAACAGGAAAGCATGTTAGACAAAACATGTCTGTGGGTCAGATTCAGCCTACAGCCACCAGTCTATCTTATCTGATTAGGCCTAACCTGTGGAAGGCTGGCACCACTGCTCCAACTGGTGGGATTTCCAGGGCTTCTTTCCTCTCCTCTGGCTCTGGAATGAGTTCTCTTCAATCTTGGCCCTCTGGCTTCTTTAGGAGAGGAATGTACTTCCATCTCTCTTCCCCAAAGACTTCACCAGGTCTTCAGAACCTCCTGTATTAACCATCTTCCAAGCTTCCTGGACTTTTCAGGCTCAGGAGGATGGGGAAGTACTATATTCTCTTCCCATGTGGTTGCCTGCAGCATGAGCCATTTGTCAAGGCTGCCTCTACCTTAAGGAGAAACTTGGCTTTTTTGCAAAGCTCTAAATTCATAGACTTGTCAGAGATAGGTCCACAGGAGCCTGATCCACTATATCTTGTCATTCCCACTCCACCCAGAGAAACATGGCTTTTCCTGTTCCTGTGGGCCATCTTTTCGTAGGATACCTCTCCCTCAGTTTCTGCTTCAGATCTGAAGGGCACTTCCAGATCACTGATATATTCTAAAACTAATGACCAAAATGTGGACACAACTCAAGCATCCATCAACAGATGAACAGATAGAGAATATGTGGTATATACATACAATGGAATCTTTCTTTTTTTTCAGTCTTTATTGGATTATAATTGCTTTACAATGTTGTGTTAGTTTCTGCTGTACAACAAAGTGAATCAGCTATATGTATACATATATCCCCATATCTCCTCCCTCTGGAGACTCCCTCCCAACCTCCCTATCCCACCCCTCTAGGTCGTCTCAAAGCACCGAGCTGATCTCCCCGTGCTATGCAGCAGCTTCCCACTACCCATCCATTTTACATTTGATCGTGTATATATGTCCATGCTATTCTCTCACTTCATCCCAGCTTCCCCTTCCCCCCCACCCCCGTGTCCTCAAGTCCATTCTCTACATCTACATCTTTATTCCTGCCCTGCCACTAGGTTCACCAGTACC